GAAAAGTAACTTCAACCTTACTTTTTCTGCTTATTACACAATTCAGCGCGCAAAAGTAAAAGTTACGTATTTGGTGAAAAAGTTGGCTGATAAGCCTGATAAGCCGAAAACCAATGGTTCCAAACGACCTCTTAATCGGATGGAGGTAGTATTATTTTACACCCTATTTCAACCTATTTTTCCACTCTATTTACGGTGGAATGATTGACCCAACAACTGTCTAACACACATGTTCACGACTCAAACTTTATGGTAATTACAACTTTAGAAGTACATTCTATCCTTATTTTATACTCCCTAATACTACATCAAGTCTCATAAATCCCACTATCAGAAAAAAATCTATTTATCCCACTATCAGGTCAACGTAAAGTCTATTACTCATTTACTTTATAAATCCAACTTTTATTAAATTTGAGTTTTTTACGACTTAATAAAACTTGTAATGTAGTGTATGAATATGTAAATTTTATTTATCAAAAAAATCTAATTATGAGCATGGATTAATTTACTTTATGATCAATCAAACATTGTAAATCCTGTGGCAACCTCGCACGAAGGAAGCTAACTAGCTAAGTAATACTCCTAGACTAGAATTGTCGTCACAAAGAAACATATGCACGGCCGGTCTAAATAAAACGACAACCCTATTAAACAAAAAAAAAAAAAATAGGTTATCAACAATAAGTGATCTACTTAAACCACTCATTTGTAACGTTATTTATTTATTATTTTATGAAAAGACTATACTTCAGAAAGTTCCATTGGGTTCGTATAGAAGTTGTGAAATTATAAATGAAGCTCCATTCTAGTGTGAATGGACCGATTCTAGGGTAAATGAAGATTTCATGCAATATAACGAGAAAAAATATAAAAAAGAAGAAGAAATAAAACATGAAGAAACTTAGAAAAGTACAAGAATGCACAAAGAAATAAAACAAAACTGAAGAAAATAAAGTTAGCGGGTAAAAAAGTTAGACAAAGTTTTTTTTTGATGTTAGACAAAGTTTTAAATAAGTGAAACAATATTTTAAGAAGAGTGAAAGAAAGTAATACAAAAAACCTGGATAAAACTAGTCATGTAGGGAAAAGTAAAAATCAGTTTTACAATGGTTATAAAATATAAAAAAGAAAATTTAAAAATTAAATAATCTTTGAAAGAAATTTGTTCGTATAAAATCGAAGCAAAATGCCCGGGAAATTAGAGTCTCGGAGGATGATCTACACTATGGGTTGAACCTTGAGGTAACCTAATATTTTTTCTGGTGTAAAAAAAACTAATATTTTTCTTGAATTTTGTAGAGTGAACTTTTCATTTTAAACATTTAGCTAGGGGGTATTATTATTGTTTAAGTCTAATATTATTATTATTTCAATTCAATCCTACATGGACTTCTAGATCCACTCATCAACCCCTGAAGTATGTACCGTGCTCCCAATCTAACATTTTTATTTATTATGGAGTACGTACTCCGTATTATTTATTGGGACCATAGTATAAAATTGTAAATTTTCCGTTTGAAAAGTTAAAGGCGTAGACAAGGAAGGATTCAGTTTTATTCATTTTCTTAGCATGGGCTGAATAGTAAAATTGACAAAATTGTAGTAGTGTTTGAAGAAGAACTGGGTAGGAAGGTCCAAGAAATAGTGTACCAATTGCATACATATATATACGGACTACAATGGAATGGGCGGAGAAGTAAGTTATTTTAGATGACCAGTGGACAAAGCAAAACAGCGATATGCACATGGATGCCTAACCCCCTTTTCACTTTTCAGCATAGTGACATGGATATGCCCTATGTTCCCACAAAAAGAAATGAAGTAATAAAAAAAAGTAAAACTAGAAGCTTTTGAATAGACAAAAAAAATAGACTTAATTTTAATATGGACAAAAAGAAACTAAATTTATCTAGAAGGACCGAAATGTCACTACTATCAAAAAATATCTAAACTCTCCCGCTCTTGCCATCGGCTAATCTGCAATTTCTCTCTCTACTCGTCTAGCCTCATATTCGCCGTCTCCCCTCCTTCACTTTATCGCCACTTCCCCTCATTCACCTCATCGCTGCCTCCCTCCTGAAACAGTTGCAGCCGCTTCACCTCTGTTCTAATATGGTGAGGCTGTAGCAGCGAGGAAGTCGGCATACAACAATGGCAATCGATGGAATATGAATGGGGTTTAATGCACCAAACTCTCTCGTGATATAGAAATTCAACGCATTAGCCCCCTGTGATTTGAAAAATGCGTCAAACCCCCTTGTGTTTTAATTAATCATGCACAGAACCCCTTTATGAATAAATTTAACGATTTGGAAATCATTTTTCCTAATATTCTGATTGAATATGCAAGTAAATATGTCAAAATCTCTAAATCATACATAAATGCTAATCATTTTTCTTGTATTTGACAATTGGATTTGTTCATAAAAGGGATTATGCGCATAATTAATTAAAACACAAAGGGGTTTGACGCATTTTCTAAATCACAAGGGACTAATGCGCCAAATTTCCATATCACAGAGGGGTTTGGTGCATTAAACCCAATATGAATGGCGTACGACGATGACGGTCAAATGAAGATAGTGATGGGTGAGTACGAGGTCGGCAAAAGGCAGTGATGGGCAAAGATAGTACGGAGTGTAATGTTTTCTTCATCATTTTGGAATTCAGATCTAGAATGACTAGAGTTTCTCATCAAGGTAATCGGGGTTCCGATAGCGGCTAACAATTTCAATTCTCGTATCATCCTAATATCTCCATAATATTCTAGAATTCTCTTAAGCTTCCTAATTAAGGAGGGACTACAACAATTCCCCACCGACTTAATTGAGAAGTAGCGATCACCCACCAATAACAACCTAACGTTAAGGCTCATTAGTTTCCACAAAAAATGTGAGTTGCGCTCCTACAAACAAATCATGTATCACATCATATGAGCAACCACCAAGGCATGATCATGGTCTACTCCCTAGCGATAATTGATCCACAATCGTTGTTATCTACTAACGGCACACACTACTTTCATCATTATAATATCATGAAGAGTCTCGATACAATGCACCAACAGTACATCAAATCTCAAGAGAAAAACCTCATGCACAATGTTCCCATTATGATCCCCTCTTCACCAATACCTTGCAATCGCAGAAAATCTTCTGTTGCTCCTCATCTCCCAATATTCATATCCAACATTCTCGTTTGAAGGTTTCTATTTTGGGATTTCATGTTCAAGTATACTTTCGAAGTATATTATTGTTACAACTTATGAGTGATAAGTATGGTGGATTGTTGTTTCTATATTGGGATTTCATGACCCTTGATGCTTATATGTGACTGAACGTTGTGTAGAGAAGACAAACCATGTACTCACTTATTTTCACCGGCGATAAGTGGAAGGTTTTGGTGTCGGCTTCTAGTCCAATGGTTTTCTCCCCGTTTTGGGATCTCCATGTAAATCTTTGTATTATTCCTTTATTTCTAGGCATGGCCTCGGTTCGGGCCGCCCGGCCCGGGACCGGCCCGACCCGCCACTGTGCGGGCCCGGCCCGGCCCGGTTTTCCGGGTCCGGGTCCGGTTCGGGCCGGAGGCCCGGGGGTGGGGCGGTTCCGGGCTCGGTTCATGGGTTTGACGGCCCGGCCCGGCCGGTTCGGGCCCGGGTCCGGGCCAAATCTATTTTTTTTTTTATTTTTTTCATTTTTTTTGGGCTGTTGGGCTTGGGCTATCTGTTTAGGCCGGTTTGGGGGGGTTTGGGGGGGTGGGGGTGGGGGGGGGAGAAAGGAAAAAAAAAAAATTAAACCGGGTGGCCCGACCGGCCCGGCCCGGTCCGGCCCGGAACCGGACCTGGGACCGCCCTACCCCGGTTCGGGCTCGGGCCTGCTATTACTGAACCGAGGCCCGACCGGGCCTAGGCCCGAGGCCCGAACCGGCCCGGTTCAGTCCACCACTATTTATTTCTTGTGAGCTGTTTATATACTTGGTCACTTTGTTGAGGTTTGTAATATTGTCCCATTTGATAACCTTTGGGTAAGTGTTACGGAGTATTACTTTTTTCCGCTTGATATTATATTTCGGGTGTGCAGCTCATTGTGGTCTGTGGATGTGGCCAAACGACAAGTTCAAATATGGGAAGTGGGAACAAATTAAATCCAATACTTAAATAAGACAATGGCAAGTATTGTTTGTCTTATAATGGCCGCAAGCCTGCAAATTATTTTTATGAAACATTTGAATTGATTGAAATTACTAAATCATACTACCTCCGTGACTCCGTCCCATTAGAAGGTTTACGTCCACTTTTCGCATTGTCAACTTAAATCATTTTTAATCTTTTACTTTAAACATCAAATTTTTATGAAATTTACATTTTTTATCAGGCTTTGTAGCGGATTTAATGTAGTTCCTGAATATGTAAATTTTATTTACTAAAAATAATCGGAGTGTGAACAAGGATTAAGTTGTTTTATCGTCAGTCAAACATCGTTACCATCAACGGGAATCTTCTAGCGGAACGAAAGGAGTAAGAATTTATAAATAAAAAACATCTTATTAATAAAAGAGAAAAACGATGGTATGATTTTTTTGGGCTAAAATAGTCCTCTAGCAAATTCAGGCAATTCAGTTTTAAAAAAAAAATTGTTTTGTAAAAAATTGTCTCATAAAGCTAATAAACCCAAAATATTACCTACCCGAACTTCCTAAACATCCTAATTACTACCTAATACTTCGTACTATAATGTGTTTGAATTTGTCGAATAGTGAGGCAACGGATTTCTTCACATCACCGGCATCTCAGTGGCCAGTGGACACCCACTTAGATGGTAGACCAGTAGATCCCACCTATCCTTTTGCACAACATTGATTAGGCTTTTTCTTAGTCAACAGAGGCTCCTATATCTTCTTATTTATACCTAAAAGTTTCAGTAGATATCAAATTTCAAGAAGTTTCCATCCTTGTTGAAAGCAACAATCAATGCAGAATAGAAACAAACATTCCCAGACTGATATGTAAATGTTCATTCTTCTTTTCCTGTTATAATAATGACCATAAGAGGCCAGCCAGCCAACCATCCTCCTTTTGTACAATATAGAATATTCCCTTAGTTTGAACACAAATCACAAAACAAAAATGTCTTTAGGACTGCCGCAGAAAGAATAGAAATTGTAATTCAGCTTGTCTATTTTGTTGAAAAAAGGACCAATTAATTAAGATTGAGAAAGGCCGCATAACCTTACTGGCACACGGAGACCGTCATAACTGAGTTCAACATCAAGACCTTCACTCTCTTTGAGTTGTAGCAGACCCTTGTTTACTTTCTCATGATCCATCAGGTGCATCATACCTGCATCGCGAATTTGATTTAGTTCATTTACATATTGCACATGCATTATGTCAATCCATGTGATGATTCATGTTAGCCGACCCCAAACTCTTTTGTAATAAGGCTTGGATATTGTTGTACTTATTGTAGATGCATTAATCTTTAGGACTTTTTTGGTTTCAGATTCTGGGGTAAGGGATAATTTTGTTTTTTCTAAAATATCTGTATTTGTTAAGATCTGTTCATTGATAATGGAATTTTCTAGTCAGATACGATATGTATTTGTTAAGATCTGTCCATTGGTTTCAGATATGTATTTTACTACTCTCTTCGCCCCCTAAAATTCTTCCAACTTACCTTTTTGGGACGTCCCAAAAGAATCTTGTCATTTCCCTTTTTGGAATGTTTTGTGTGGCTAACATTCATTTACTTTTTTCTTACTCAACCACAATAACACATTTCCACTTTCCTCCGACTTTCTTGAACTCTGATCCAATTCAAACCTGGAAGAATTTTATGGGACGGAGGGAGAACTATTTAATGCTGGATTGGACTAGTCTTGTATGCTCTATCATACAAGAGTCTTGTATCCACTTCCCTTTTTGGATTGTTTTGTATGCTCTATTTGAGACTAGTGTAATCTATTTAAATCTAATATTTTATTATTTGAACTGGGATTGAAATAAAATAAGTCCAAGTGAAAGGTTCTTAATCTTAGAGTTCGTTTTGATGACCTTGTTTTTCGGCTTATAAAACTTATGAGTCAACTTTTTCACCACACGCGTAACTTTTGATTTCGCGCATTGAATTATGTAATAATAAGAAAAACTAACGTTGGAGTTACTTTTCTAGCTATATTGGCGGACGTTACTGTAGAGGATCATTTTAGTTGTTTTTTCATATAATTTTTTCTTTATTTTATTAATACAATATACTTTAATTATAATTTTTTCATAAATGAGCAGAATCAGCCAATCAGCCACTTCAGCCAAAACTTCATAAATTTCAGCATCTGCCAATACAACTAATTTGGGTATTATCAAACGGGCTCTTAGAGTACAAAAGAGCTACTCCTGCATATTTAGTTTTATACCTTCTTTTCTACAAAATCAAGCAAGAATAAATTCATAAAATAAATATCACTTCTCCGGTCTCTCCCTCTCCAAATCACCCAACCAAACAAGGTCTTAAGCTTAGAAAACAGAGCATCAAAGCAGTTAATACACAAATCCAGAACCTGAAGAAAAATATAGTAAACAAAATTACCAGTGAAAAGTGTTCTCCTTGGTTTGATTTTCCGTACTTCCTCAAGAGCCTGCAAAATTATTAATATATGAATGTTATAATAAAAAACAACCAATAGTGAAAGACAACGAACACATAAATGCTTAGAGGGAAAAGAGGATGAGGTGAAGGGTCACCACCCTTGGGAGTCCAAAATGGGTGGCAGAAGACCTATCAGGCCTCAATGCATCCTGAAGACAAAACAAAAGACATTCACTCCTTACATATATGTATTATATGATAAGTCTCTCAATATGCAAAGCAAATGCCCCAGAGAGATCTATAGGTTGTACCAGGATAAGCAGTTCACAGTCCTCTAGGAGAGAGTAGGTTTCTTCAGGAATTTCACTCACATCACTAGAAAAATAAAGGAATAAATTAGTCACTGGGTTTTCCTGTCACACACACGCACAAAATATGCACATTTACATGTAATGCGTACCTTATGTAACAGATATTGCCGAAACGAAAGCCCAATGAACGATAACCACTGCCATGCCACACCGGTAAAGGGATAATCTTTAGAACACAATGGTGAAAAAAAATGACCAGTCATGAGAAGGAATCGAAATAGCAAAGAGCGGCCATCTTGTATTAAGAAGCTTAAAGGTATGTTTGGAACCCGGGTAATGCTAACGGAAGAAAAATAAATGCTAATGGAAGTTAGTTTCTTATGTGTGTGACTCTACCATGAACATCCTTCTATCTTCTTTATCTTATGTTTTTTATTCTTATATCATTTTTTATTTAATTTATATTCTTTTTATCATTTTTATCTTAGCATTTTTATCTCTATCTTATATTTATCTTTATCTTTATTGGATCTTTTCATCATACCTTATCTTTCTTTTCCTTTTGGCTCCGATGTCATGTAACGATTCGTGTTAGCCGATCCCAGAATCTTTTGGTGCTAAGGCTAGGATGTTGTTGTTGTATACTTATATACTACGTATATATTACGGAGTAGCAAAGAACGGTTTTAAACAAATGACTACACTTATGGAGTTTGAACATAACTTTAATCTCAAGTTTTCTTTCCTTCTGAATTTACTCCTTACTTTCCTCCATGTATTATTTCCCTAGTACTTTCCTAGTTCCAAGCACACTCAACAGAAATAATGGAAAATGATAAATAGCCCAACAGAAACAAAATAACTTCTACTTCTAAAACAATCAAACAAACATAAAGCATACATTGCCGCAATTTTACGAACTAAGGAAAAGAAAATAGCTAATAGTAACAAATAATTTACTTTGAGATCGTGGACAATAAACGGGTCCTCATTTATGATGTTAAATTGCAGATCTGAAACAGCAGCACCAGGTGTGATACCACTAGTGTCCACCAAATAATAGTGAGTTTTCTTCATCACCTTGCATTCTCATGATATTAACATGTAAATATTAAAGTGACATAACCAAATATAGAAACACTAAAACCTTGTTTATACAAAAACTGAAAAAAAGTATAGATAGACATGTAAAAATGACATTAATTTGTGGCATTCTCTTCATGCTCTAATTTATATGCTACCAGAGGGAACGAACAAATTATGCAGTAAGATTAAATCATGTATTATTATATAAAATCGTGGATGTGTGGTTGGCAATTAGTAGTAACTAGTATGTTCAGTGCTTGCACAATTAAACATTGAGAAATGAGAAAGAAAGGCCGAAAGGTAGTTGCATTGCATAAATGCATAATATGTTTTTATTAATAAGAGATACCTCAAAGTCGCGCTCTGCTACATAAATAGGTACAAAGGGCTGGATATTGTTAGTCCAATCACGAAGATCATCCAGACCTGAGTAGCTTATCAAACATAAGTGCCAGAAACATATCGATCACATTGAAATTTCATTAAAGAGTCAAAAAAGACCTCCAATTGCATCAGCATGAGAATGAGTTATTACAACTGCATCAATTGTTCGTATCCTGAAAGAGAGAAGGCATATAAGATTATAAGTTATAATGAAAATAAGAAATAATTCCACTTTAGGTCCTCCGAGTTTTGTGTCATTTCCATATTTAGTCCTCAGTCTTTCACTTTGTCCATTTTTGTTACTTGACTATTGTTTTCTTGACCATTTTCGGTCCATCTCTGGTCATTTTTACTACCGGAAAAGGACTATATATGGTCAAGAAAACAATAGTCAGGTACCAAAAATGGATAAAGTGAAAGACGAGGACTAATTGTGGAATTGTTGCAAAACTCGAAGGACCATAAGTGGAATTTATTCTGAAAATAATGATCTCATTCAATTTTAAAAAGTGAAAAGTGAAAAGACCTTCAATAATACATGTAAGTAGCCCGTATTAGAAACACTGAAATGAAAAGAAAAATTAGGGAACGTAGACAGGTTTCTTTGTTGCTGGCCATATTTATGCATTAAGAATGTAAAATACATCACGATGGGCAAGAAAATCAATTCAGTGGGAGGTAATTTATGCGCTTTCTATACAACTCACCTTGCTCATAATCATTGACAATTTAATCAATTACCTACAGAGATATTGAAACTTAGCTAAGCTAAGTGCTTGTCTCGCATGACACAGCACACATCCCTCCTTTTGGTGATTTATTAATTTCGTGATTGTTTCAACTTTTTGTGTTTGTTTCAGATTCTAGTGAAGTATTTAATGGATTTGTCTATTTTCTGTTTTTTTTTTTATTTACTTAATGTGTATTTTCTGGGTTTGGGATTAAATGATAAGTAGTTGTTGGATTAACAATAAGCCACCTGCTCATTTTAAAAAGAGTAGTTCACATTCAAAGATATCGATGCAATTTATTGAAGTATAATTTGGAATAAAGCGGCATAATATGCTTTAAATCCACATACTTATTTGAAGCTAGATTTTGAGGCTCTTTTATATATCAATAGAAGGCATGATGGGAAGTGAGTTGTTACATTTCATTGAGGATCACAGTCTGAAATCCTTCCATTCTTCCAACATTTACATGTTTTCGTGTTCCATATGCATAATAGTTCATCCGAAAGGTTTGATATCAATATTTTGCATGGTGTTGGAGTTTAAAAAACTAAAACGTGTGTAGCCAAAGCCAAGCAACATGGTTGATATTAAAATAATGGTTGCATGGAGGCAGATATTAGAAATGATTCACGTTTAGAACTAGAATATGTCATGCTTGAATTTTTCATGCACAAAAACGAAAAGATCCCAACTTTTTTATGTTGTGGTACTGAATGAAGGGAAACATTTAAAGAGTGCTTTAAGGAATTGGAAAAGAACGAGATGACTAAATATGTTCCATAACAACTTATGTCAAGATGAGTTGAAATCAACTTTTAGTTGGCAAAGGCAGAAATACATAACACATCAAGAAAAATCCATGAAAGCATTCATTGTTCCATACTTTCCATTGAAAGTGTTTCCTCTAATGAGAGGAATCAATGCATCCTTACTGAGAAAACTGTCTGAAAACATGGGTGCCTAGTGCCTACATTTAAGGAAGACACTTTGTATGCCATGTCAAATATGTGGGTAGGAAAGGCGCGCTAATACTCTAATAGAATTTGTGGATCAACACTAAGATCACAGTGGAAAGGAGGCTGAAAATCATTATGCCTTTAAAACATGACTTAAGAAACCATTGTACATTAACTCTTTATCATCATCTTTTTCTAAATTTTCCTGATTTTCCATCACTCCTATTTTCAACAATATTGAGGACTGACTACCTCTACAACTTTAATCAGGGATTCCAAAACAGCCCTATAAGAGAAGCTAGAATTTATGAATATGTTAATTTCTTTATTTTATACAAATACTCATGACAGTAACTTTAAGGTAATTTAGCTCATTAAACACATTAGATCATTTGAACCAAAACAAGAACAATTAATGACATTTAACTATCTCATCCAAATTTTGCCATCTATAAACTGACCCTAATAAAGTAAAAGAAGAGGAGCTTACCCATAAAGGGGAAACCATCTCAAGGCACTATGGTAGAAGAACCTGCACATTAAGCAAGTAAAAATATGTTTCCATGGTAGAATATTCAATCCCAACTAACACATAAGATGTCAGCTATAATCAAACAATGTTGTGTTTCGAATTCTACGGAAAAATCATTCTAGTAATAACAATCTTGTAGAAAGAAGTACATACTTTCCAGCATCTATAAGAATGTTTGATGTTCCGGATGATCCAGGGTGCCGAATGAGAATGCTTGTGTTATGTCTCCTATTTTTGTTGTCAGGTTCTATAGCCTCTGAGCACACCTATAATTGACTACTCAATTTGCGTACTTAATACTTCAAATATAAATTTGTAATCAATGACTCCAGATATTTGCATGAAAGTGCATATGGTTTGCAATCTTACTTGGCATGCCTTCAAGGGATTGGTGAGGCAGCTAACTCGGGGAACTCCTTCACTTGTCCCCGTTCCCAAAAATATTATTTCAGATTGGTCCCCTGATCTCTCTGCAATTGTTGAAGAACATACCGAACCTACATCGTGTTAAGAACTAACATTAATTTCAAGAAAGAATGGAAGGGAAAATCGTTCTATCATGTCTAAGGGTATGTTTAGGCGCGGAAAATGGAAAGGGAGGAAATGTCAATGAAAGTTACCACCTGAGAAAGCACAAAGAAAAATGAAATAAGATTAAATGTGTTTTTGGATTCTTATCCTTTATATAATAAGATAAGAAGTGGGGATAAATGAAATGAGTTTGTTGAAATGTATACAATAAATTGGTTAGGTTTTTCGGGAAGATTTTCTTACCTTTTCAAATTTTTCTTATATCCTCCCTCTTTACTTTCATTCTTACCATTTTCTGAGTTCCAAACGGACCCTAAGAGACAACACCAATCACTTTACCCAATTGTGCTATGTATTAATTTCACATACTCACTGATTGCACCAGTTGCTTAAGCACAAAAGCTAGACAGTTAAATATCTAATTTAATGAGAAAGGTGCTGTATTATCTCAACTTGGAATAAGATAGAGGTAGGTCACATGTGATAAGAAATTGCCTTTTGCAAGAAACTTAGATCTGTACTTAAGCCACATACTAACAAAGAAAAAAAACATATTAAAATGGGTTTAAACTAGCAAAAGAAATTCTCAATTGGAGAGGTTGACCTTACACTAATCTGTGATTGTGCAACATTTCAATGGCAGTTTTTTTAATCATAATTTTGACTAAATCCTCTAAGTCTTTCCCACAAATTAGTTCAAACTCCTCCATCCACATTAGCCAAACCGAGCTTAAATTGGTCGAATATAATATAACTTGATATTGCGTTCTAAGAGAATAATTAGATAAAATTAGTAGCTATCTTATATACTTCATTTTGGTTGGAACTTGGAGCAAACCAAACGAATAGCTCAGCCTCTAAATGAGCTATTATCCATATCAAATTGATTTATTATTTTATATTTAACTGATGTAGGACAAGCAGTTCATCACGTCCATCAGCCCAAACTGTCGAAATTGGCCAAACTAACTCTAGATTCAAAATCATACCATATTAAAGGCTTAAAGCTTAGAATTCCAATAATAGTCTAGGATTTTATATAGCCCAAAGCCATGAGATGTCAAACAAATAAATTAGCCCCACTTAGATTAAGTACTAAAATGGGTATTACTAACCATGGAGGTTTACTTCTCATTAAAGATCATATATTAGATTCAATTATAGTCAATATCTGGGGCATTAACAGAAGCTATCCGGGTCAATATTAAGCCACAGTTCAAGAAAGTAGACAGCGAACAATCAGATTCAGAATTAGGCTATTCAAGAAAATATGATTCCCATCACTCTATAGTCAGTAATAGATTTCCAGAAAGAAGAAATGATACGTGTACATAAGCAAATTGCGCTTAAAAACAAAATGAAGGTTCACTTACTGGAGCAAAGAGATGCTCTGGGGACATGCCTGAACATAGGATACACATTTCTGGAAATTAAAAATGAAATTTTTCCAGTGTTCCCCGTGCAGGGAAATCGACGGGAGCATCTGGCGATTTCCCAGAGAGGAATGGGGGCAGCTCGAGCTATTCCCAGGAAATTAACCATTTCCTTTTAATTGCTTTTGTAATTTCGGGGTTCCACTCGCGCCGAATGATGGTTACTGGATTGGCGGACAAAACCATCCAATGACCTCCGGGACTGCGGGATGGACTTTGCCTGTGCGGAGCAGGACAGCTCGCCTGAAGTGAATAACGAGATAACCCAACGGACCAAACGGTTATGATCTGGTTGGGTTCCATTCCAACATTTAGTAATTACTTCAATTTATTAACGATTCCGTTCTAGGTTAATGGAAAAAATGTGTATCTAGAATCATTAAGGAATCGTTATACTACGTTTGTCCCTATTTAAAGGTGCCTTTTCATTTTACACACATTTTAAGAATGTCACATTGTTTTGGCACTGTGTGGAAACTGTTTGTTACTGTTTTGCTTACCAAATAAGGAAATGGAGCTTTTTTTTGGACGGCCCGAAAAAGAAAGAGAACTTTTAAATAGGGACGGAAGGAGTATATGTTAAAGTATATTTACTTATTCATTTTTATATTACACTGACTAGTTTTGTTTAGTTATTTAAGCATTTAAGATTATTATTTATTTTAATGGGTTCTTTTAAGGGAGTGTTTGGATCTAATTCTTAAAACTGTTTCTGCTCCTTCAGAGAGCAGAAGCAAAAGTTGGAGTGTTTGGGTGAAAGTGCAGAAATGATTCTGGTGCTCTAATTTACTCCTAGAATCAGTCTTTTTAGAAGCTGGAGGAGATCAGCTTCTAAAAACTGATTTTGATTCTGCTTTAAAAAAAAGCAGAAGCAGAATCAGTTCCAAACACCCCCTAAGCCTCTTAGGCAGAGGCTCGGATGATCGGAATTGAGTTGGATAATTACGTTGCTTATTCAAAATCATAAGTATTGATTGTTGTGAATATGTTGTTTTGTTTTGTTTTGTTTACTAAAAATTTCAGTTTGGTATGTATTTATGTTTTAAACTCAACTTTGAGATTTGAAAATGATGGTAAACATATTTGTATTTCTTGTAATTTCAAATGTTAGAATAATTTTTTGGCACAAATTTAATGGTGATTTGTAATTTTTTTTTAAATTAGGCCGTTAAATGACAAGAACCGAACCGTTAAGAATGGTTAGGTTTCATATCAGTTCTGTAAAAAAATTATAAGAATTGAACCGTTATTAAGATTTGATATTTTTCAAGCCGTGTCATCTATTTTGTATAGGAACCAAACCGATTTCAGGCCTAATGGATCATAACTCTCATTTAATCCTTAATTATTTAGTGCCTCTTTGGTATAGTTTCGGTTTTTTTAGGTTTTCCCTAAAATATTACTCATAAAAAATCTATGGATAGAAATGTGACTATAAGTTACTATGTGTCAGTTTTATGGTTACTATGAGATAACATTTGAATACAATTATAATCACTAAAGTTACTAGAGTCACATTTCACATATAGAATAGGGAAAGTTATTGTCAAGTATTTTCATAGTCACACCCAAACATTGCCAACTTTTAGAGATAATTCAAAGTTTGAGTTGTTAAAAGTAGTTGCCAAGACTAGGTCTGCATCACATTACATTTTACTGAAAAGATTAAGGGATTGTAGAGAGGCTCTTGCTACGACTATTGCCCTTAATTCTCGGAGGGATTGGTTAAAAAGGGGATTGAAAACGCTAGAGCAACGGGACTGTAAGTTTCTGATACTATTAGAAGCGAAGAATTTTGGGATGATATTGAAAGCATTCTTGCAATAACAAAGCTGGTTTTCTTGCTAATCAAGTTTTGTGATGATGAAGGATAAAAATGGGAGAAATCTATGAAAAATGAATACCATTGTTGAGGTTTATTCCTTCAACCTTCAGGCCCAACACGTAAGCCCAAAGATTTCGAGTGGAGTGCGTATGAATAACTAGCCCAACAAGCAGATGATAGGGGTCAAGAAACAGTAAGGTAGCAAGTAAGTGATTAGGTATTATTATCTCTTAATAACTCCCTAATACAATACTTTTTGCTAAGGCTCCGTCGGCCGTTCGTCTTACAAGGCAGTAGAAGTGCTGCGAGTAAGAATACTATAGCTAGAGTGCTAAGAATAGAAAGTTGTCAACCCTTTACAATGAAATAAATGCTTCTATTTATACCCGCCAATGGGCAGGTGGCTATGCTGACGTGGAGGCCTGCGGACCGCTTGTGTCCCAACCACCAAATCTTCTGCATTAAATGCACTTCCCGCCAGAATCTAGGCTTCCCGCCTAAATAATGGGGACGTTCGCCCGCCAGGGGGTGAGCTGGGTCACTCCAAGTGACCCTCAAGAGACTTCGGCTGTTCGTCCCCTGACCTTAGTGGATTCTCTCCATGTGGACTGGATCTCCTCCGACGATCATGGGCCTGCCCAGGAGACGTTCGTCGTTATCCCTGATGGCCAGTGGTCCTGCCCCTTACCTCTGCACATACGTTCGTCGCGATGGGCCGTTTGAAACCTGGACCCCCCAATTCCAGACGTTCGTCTCTTCCCAAGGGTCATGGGCCTGCGCCCAGCCTGGTCCTAGCATGACGTGCGTCCGATAGAAAAAAGGGGTTAATGGGCCGGACCTCGGCCTGGGCCATTATCCCAACACAAGTCCCCCACTTCTGATGTTCTGGGCATGCGCAGGACATAAGGAAGTATAGATGCCCCGAAATGGACGTTCGTGTCTTGATACGTGTGTCTTATTGCATCTGGCGGAAGCGTACGCTCGTGGTCATGGTGCTTAACAGCTGTCGACGGTTCAGGAAACGAGGTGACGGCTGCTGTAGCGGCGGTGCATTTTCCGAGGAAATGCCATCATTACGCTTTCGTCCCACGCACAGCGCGTGAGACGGAATACGCTCCTTGCCACGTGTCCGTCCCTCGTTGGTCCCCCCATCGGTGTCTCTCCTATAAATGCCGGGTTTTCCCTCTGGGTTAGGGTTCCCGATTTCTGCTCTCTTGTCTTCGAATTTCCGCAGCTCTTCAAGTCTTCTCCCGCTTCCAAGTTCGGCTAATCCCTCTAAGGTAACTTCCATCTTCTGCTTCTTTTTCTTGTCTTGAATTCTTGCCGCGATGGTTTCGATGGAGATCTCGTCAAGTTCTGGTTCGGGTTCATGGGGTTCCTCCTCGGGTTCCTCTTCCGACTCCGGTTCACGTTCTTCGGGCGAAGTTAGCACTTCCGGTAGTTCTGGCTCGGCCCCTACCGTGGGAACTGTTCAGGCCGGGGAAGCCCAAATTGGTGTTGTTGCGACTGTCCCTGGTGAGGAGGGTGCTGATTCGGGGGAGCAAAACAGTATGGCTCTCGATGTGGTGGATCCCGTGGTTGAAGACGGGGAACAGGAGTCCGCCAGTGAGGACGGTCGTCCGGACGGATATGATTCTGGGGTCGAGGCCCAGGACGGTTCCGACATCGAAGTTTTTGACCTCGGGCTAAAGATAGACGTGGAGAGGCATCTATGCCCGATCAAGAATGTCCTCTGTCATGAGCAGATCTTCTCACCGGTGGCCCTTAACAAGCTCAAGGTGTTCTTCCCCCCTCCGTCCGTATACAGCCTCCGCGGCGCAACCCACGTGATGAGGAGACGTCCAGGGATGATTATGGTGCTTCTGGACTCCATCGAGGCTGGGTTGCGTTTCCCTCTCCATCCGTTCTTTGTGGAATTCTTTTGCTGTTACCAGATAGCCCCCGCTCAACTCATGCCGAATTCCTATCGGTGGCTCTCCGCCTTCCTAGTCCGTTGCAAGGACAATGGGGTCACCGCCACTTTGGATCTGTTCCATTACTTCTATCGGCTCACCCCCCCAGAATTCCGACGGTTTCCTGAGCATTGCGGCCCGTCCGAAGCGGAGGTTGTTCAGCGGAGCACCGAGTTCCATCCATGACTTGAAAAACCGGTTCTTCTTTGTGCGGTATGCGGATGCTCGTCTGCCACTACGGTGGAATGGCTATCCGCCCAAGATAGGGTCCCCGGAGCTGACCGACGATCTGGAGGAAGACATCAGGAAGATCTCGACGGGCGGCGTCCGGCCCTTAGATGACTTCCTAACTTTCGAGGCACTCGCCGCGGGCCCGCGGCAGGAATAGGTACCGCCCATGCTCTCGGACATCTCCCCTTCTACGCTCGTCTCGGGGTACTGGGCGGTCCTGACCTCCGAGGTGAGTTATTCCTGACGCTCGTCCATCTAACACTTCCCATCTTTCTTTCAGGTCTCCCCCCGACCCAGGAACAGATGAATCACGAGAAACTCCTCAAGAACCGGAAGGGAAAGGGTGCCGCGGCCGATGCTGCCCTTGCCAAGGCCAAGGCCGCCCAAGCGGCAGATTCTAATTCTTCCGCCTCCCAGGCCGATCGTCGCACGGTGGAGGCGGAGCAGCACCTCATTGCCACGGTGATGGCACAGGGGTCCCAGGCCCCCATCCTCAACCCTGTCGTCCCCGAAGTCGTGGCGCCCCTACAGGCCGTTCATCCGCTTGAAGGGGAGAAGGCGAAGGACAAGAAGTCCAAAAGGCCTCGGGGGGCTTCCTCTTCGGCCCCCGAAGAGCAAGGGCTGATCCTCCCTTCCCTTGGGCGTCCGGCCCATGACGTCTGGCAGGAAATTGCCTCTCTGGTTGGCGTGGAAATGCCTCCCCGGACGTCTTCAGAGGCCTCCAATGCGGTTCTGGCCGCCGCTCTTCAGGTGAGACTTGCCCCTAAATGAACGGTAGATTTCCATATTCCGTTGATTGAAGTCTCATCCTCTGTATCTCTTTTGTAGGTTGGGCTCTCTACCCTGCAGGCTGAGGCTGCTCGGGATGCCGATGCCCTTCAGGCAAAAAATAAGGCAGATGCGGCCTTGAAGAAGGCGAGAGAGGCCGCTCGTCTCCAGGAGAAAGAGCTGGCGGCAAAGGACAAAGAACTGCAGGCCGCCCTGAAGGTGGCCCGCGAATCCTCCGCGAAGCTCGCGGTTCTGGAGAAGGTCGGGTTCAAGCTCGTCCCAGCTCTCCCTGCTCCCAAGGACGAGGCCCCTGAATGGCTCGTCGATGAGACCGGGTATCACAATTCTGGGGCCTTCATGATTGCCGCCCAGAAGTACCTTGGGGGCGCCTTTGGCGATGTATTCGCCGCCGAGCTGCAGAAACAGGCGCCGAGGGACCGCCTCAAATTCGGGGTCCGAATCCTGGAGAGTGCGCCCCTGGCCGAGAAGTTTCTATACGATGTTGGGGATAGCTCCTTCGT